CTGTCTACACCAGTGGTTCACAAAGTTGGGGTCAGGACCCAAAGTGGGGTCCTGAAACATCAAGGTGGGGTCCTGAAAAGATTTTCTAAATTAATTAAATTTTTGCCTTAGTTGTTACCTAAAATGTATAAATGTAGAATAATAAATATTGTTACTATGCCCATGTTTAGTTGACCTGATACAAATGTTTATCGTCCAAACATAGTTGGGGGCACAGGTCTCTGCTACTGTTATTTTGTGGGTCAAAAGCTGAAAAGTTTGGGAACCACTGCTTCAGAAATCAATTTAAAGGGTAATAAAAATAATTGGTGATGTAATATTTCCCTATAATTATTATAAAAACACAAAATAAGTATAAATAAGTATTTATATTTGTGTACCAGCTATTTAGATTGTCAAAAAGCCTGTGTTTTTAGGGTTATTAACGAAGTTTGTGTACTCAGACCAGTGATCACAAGTTTTTGCCATGAATATTTTGTGGGTCAAAAGACAAAAAGTTTGGGAACCTCTGCTCTAGAACATGTAGAGATAATTGTTCAAAGGAGTATTCTTCATAAAATGAAGATAATTATGGACAACCCTGAGACAGACAGACTGTCATACAACAACAAAGCGTCTTCAGTCAGAGGCTTCTTCAGATCTACTGTAAGATGGACCGCTACAGGAGATCAATCCTGCCCACAGCCATCATCAGCATCATTAACAACTCTTTAAAGAAACCAGGATATGTTACAACACATAGTTTCCCTTTGGGATTATTAAAGTATTTGTGAATCGATTAAAAACATTTAAAAGGCAACTTTTCTCTACCCAGTTTCAGACTGTTCTTTATTACAACAGAGACAGAAAACATACCTGTGAGAACAGCRTTACTGGGCCATTTTCACCCAGTTAAGTGAGAACAAAGAGCTGGCAGAGTGGGCTGCTGACACGCTGTGATAAAAAAAAATGAATTATCACATGACGTGCTCCACAAACAATCAACAGTTTATTGAAGACTTAAGTACATGAACTGATAAATGTACATGAACATTTTGGGATTTTGAACCTATTTCAAAATTCAAGTGAATTATAAACATGAACTCTTTCTTTCATTTAAATGAAGTGAAAACTGTCATAACATGACCAAGAACCCTCAAATGGAAGAAAAAAGAAAGAGGATGTTTCATGTTCAGGCCAAACAGAGAGGTTTGATGGTTCTCAGGCAGAAATCCTGACAAAGTTAGGGTAAAATACCTTTGAGAGGAAGTATTTCCATTTACTCTGGTACCCTTCTGTCTGTACATATTACACAATGGCTGAGATTTTGCTGCTTGTTTATTTGTTGAGTGTTATTTCACATTTATTTACACAAGTGACAGAACAAAACTCATTTTCTATTCATCAGCAGTGGGAGAATGAACAAAACATCAGTAAGAGGAGTGGGTTGTATGAATTCAATCAGGGACAGCAATAAAAAAGATAAATGACATTTAATTAATTCCATTATTGTGGCAGTGTTTGGACAACTGAATTTATTGAAACTATGTAAAAATCARATCTGCTTAAAACAAGGAATGGTAGAATATGTTAAAATATAGAAGGGACAAAAATAAAAAAAGTCTTATGAAAGAAAGTGTCAGTGAACAGTAATAAAACACTCTACAGTTAGATAAAACAGCCTCTAACTGTGTGAAACTACCAATCTGAATTTTGTAAAATAAAATCAGAAGAACCAGTTTGACATTAAAGTTTAGTTCTCACTGGAAGAACCTGGTTATATTTAAAACAGCTTCTTCCCTGTAGATTACAGCTGAAGACATAAATGGGTAAATAATGACGAAACAAGTTCAACTTAATGTGAATCAAATGCACCTCCTGAAATGAAATCACTACTCAGAGTAATACCAGTATGCATCAGTAATGTTTTAGCTAACTGGAGATTTCCTTGCATGTGAAGCTTTGAGGTGCCAATCCGATGAGATTAGCTCTGTAGGTTTTTGGCTTTGCTCGAAGTTCTTCAGCTCCTTCCAAGCTCACGTCAAGACGATCCAATCCCACGTCAGCCTTTTCTTTGAGGGAGAAGTACCAGTGTCAGTCCTGTCTGAAGAACATATCTACGACACGCCGTCACTGGTCCCAACTCGTGGACTCTCTCCACCAGTTAACAGGTTACAGAGGAGTTTGCGGCGACCAGCCAGATAGTCCTCCTCATCGACGTTAACCAGCAGTTTGATGGCCTCGTGGCCCACGGCTTGTTTCAGGGAATCTGTGATAAAGACTCCTTTAAGAGCCTCAAGCAGTGACCCATTGATGTAGTCCCTCCAGAAGGCGTCCAGGTAAGTGAGCTCAGAGAATTTGATGTCACAAATGATAGAACCCAAGTCTCTAGACTTCAGAATGGTATTAGCCTGATTGAAGCGCTCGAACTGTCGCTCCACAGGTTCCTGCTTGTTGGAGAAGACGTTACCCTGAAGAGCGGACTCATGCTGACAGTACTCTGCACGAACCCGAAGACGGATATCTAACGGAGGAAAACAGACAAGAATTACCAGAAGTCRAGAGCAAAAATATCCTGATGCATCTCAGTAATCTAGGTAGAAAAAAATCAAAAAGAAAAAAAAAAAAAGTAGGTCCTCTGGATGGGTTCTTCTATAGTGAAACGTTTCGTCTCTCCTCCAAAAGACTTCCTCAGTCTAACTAAAGAACTCTCTTGGAGGGGAGACGAAACAAACTTTCATGTTTTAACTCCTGTTTAAAGATGATAATTTGCTGATGGATAAAATAAAGCCAACAGAATCACTCCAATTAAAATTGTCGTTTCTTTTTACCACAAGTTTGCTTCTCTTTGCAGTCAGCCGACGAGTGACTTCGGGTTCTCTTGCGGTGTGATGCAGGGGGAGCAGGTTTTGTTCGGGGAGAACCAACACAGGGTCCTGATGAGGAGCAGCAAAGAACAGGCTGTGGCCCTGAACACAATGGGAGATAAGGTCATCAGTATTTTGTGATGCTGTTGAACAAATAATAAACATTCTAAAGTGATGGAAACATTAACAGGTAGATAATATGGCCTGTACTGGCAAAATGAGTCACAATGAGGAACATTTCAATACWGAGTTATTTTACTTTTAAATTCTCCATTTCTAAAGCTTCAAAATTACAATTATTTGAAATTTGGCTATTTACCACCTGGCCTGGCACAAACTATTCTTTTACAAGAGTGCCAGTTTGAAAACCCAACTTTTATTTGTCTAGAAAGATGTCATCAAGAATTTCAACTCTATAATTACAGCGGGTAAAATAAGTATTGAACACGTCAACATTTTTCTCAGTAAACATATTACTAGAGGTACTAATGACATGAAATTTTCACCAGATGTCCGTAACAACCCAAGTGATCCATACATACAAAGAAATCAAACCATAAATGTCCAGAAATGAAGTTATTTGTAATAATGTGGAATGGCACAGGGAAAAAGTATTGAACACACTTACTGAAATTTATCTAATACTTTGTACAAAAGCCTTTGTTGTCAATAACAGCTTCAAGACYRCTCCTGTATGGAGAAACTAGTGGCATGCATTGCTCAGGTGTGATTTTGGCCCATTCTTCCACAAACAGTCTTCAAATCTTGAAGGTTTCGTGGACCTCTTCTATGAACTCTGATCTTTAGTTCTTTCCATAGATTTTCTGTTGGATTCAGGTCAGGTGATTGGCTGGGCSATTCCAGCAGCTTTAGTTTATTTCTCTGAAACCAACTGAGAGTTTCCTTGGCTTTGTGTTTGGGCTCATTGTCTTGCTGAAATGTCCAGCCACGTTTCATCTTCATCATCCTGGTAGATGGAAGCAGATTTTTATCAAGAATGTCTCTGTACATTTTTCCACTCATCCTTCCTTCAATTATTTGAAGTTTGCCAGTACCATATGCTGAAAAACAGCCCCACACCATGATGTTCCCACCTCCAAACTTCACTGTTGGTATGGTGTTTTTGGGCTGATGTGCAGTTCCATTTGACCTCCAAACATGATCTGGCATCCAAACAGTTCAATGTTGGTCTCATCTGACCAGACTATATTCTCCCAGTATTACACAGGATTGTTTTAATGTTGTGCAGCAAACTTTAAAGGAGCTTCAARATGCTGTTTCTTCAGCAGTGGAGTCTTGCGTGGTGAGCGTGCATACAGGCCATGGTGGTTCAGTGCATTACTTATTGTTTTCTTTGAAACAAACGTACCTGCTAATTCCAGGTCTTTCTGAAGCTCTCCACAAGTGGTCCTTGGCTCTTGGACAACTCTTCTGATAATTCTTTTRACTCCTCTGTCAGAAATCTTGTGAGGAGCACCTGGTCGTGGTCGGTTTATGGTGAAATGATGTTCTTTCCACTTCTGAATTATGGCCCCAACAGTGCTCACTGGAACCTTCAGAAGTTTAGACATTCTTCTGTAACCGATGCCATCATTATGCTTTGCAACAATAAGGTTGTGAAGGTCTTGAGAGAGCTCTTTACTTTTACCCATCATCAGATGGTTCTTGTGTGATACCTGGCCATCATTTGGGACTGAACCAGCTGATATTAACTTGCACTGACAAGGGGCAGGCTTGCTTTCTAATTACTGAGAGAGTTCAGCTGGTGTCTTGGCTTTCCATGTCTTTTTACACCTCCCTTTCTTCATGTGTTCAATACTTTTTCCGTGTGCCATTCCACATTATTACAAATAACTTCATTTCTGGACATTTATGGTTTGATTTCTTTGTATGTATGGATCACTTGGGTTGTTACCAACATCTGGTGAAAATTTCATGTCATTAGCACCTCTAGTAATATATTTACTGAGAAGAATTGTGACGTGTTCAATATTTATTTTACCCGCTGTATAAAAAGAGAATACCTGAGCTTTACAAACAGAAAACATTATGCAAAGGGATTTTCCAGCAGAGAAAAATGGTCTATTTAAAGAAAATTCTAAGTGTTATAAGAGAGGTTTATTCATTAAGATGTACCTGGTCGAAAACATCAACTTCAAGGTAGTTTAGTTAGTAATGTTAGTAAGGTATTTCATTGCCAAGATTGAAAGATCGCGTCTTTTTTTACACAAATCTCAATCTATATAAACACTTTTTTGTTGCATCGCTGCCTCTTTCTGACTGATTTTACCAGAACAGGTCACAGATGATGGACAATGACAGAGGTTTGATTATGTGTGGAGCCAACACTAGTTTGAAATGATTTTTGTTTTTCCCAGTATCTAATTCAGATGTTCACATGGATTTACACTGATAAATATTACAGAACGTTAATGTTTGTTTTACTGGAACAGCAACCAGACCCACCTGTTCTCCTGTGAGGTTCAGGGGTCTTGGACTGCTCGGTTCCTCTTGGTGAAACATAGCGCACCGACGTGTCTTCAAGGAACTTGTCAACGGGATCTGGACAAACTAATATCAACCAAAAAATTGAAACATGTAATTTCCTTTAAACTAAACAGCCTTTCTTTTCTTTTTAACTCAAACAGACACTCAACAATGAATCACTTTCTTTTTCAGTCAAATTCCTTCTGGTTTAACATTGTTTCAWTTTTTCCCTGGCTGAGCTGGGTTGTAACAGGATTGGTTTATTCTGCAGTGTGTATTAAAGGGGCAATATTATGTGTTTCTCAGGCATATATTTAAATTCTAGGGATGCACGATACAGTATATCATTATTGGTATTGGTATCAGCCGATATTGGTCATTTTTTAGAATATCAGTTTTTGTCGGATATGTAAAACTGAGCCGACGTCCGATATTGATTTCCCACTTTTTAGCTTTGTGGTTTTTTTTGGGAGGAGACGGTTGATTGAGCGGCATCTGTTTGATTATGGTAGTGATACTGATGCTGCGCAGCCAGGAATAACTGATGTAGGGAGCTCTGCTCAGAGGTCTGCTCGTTTATTTACCGTATCAAAAAAAAAAAAAGACTGAAGTGTGTTTGTACGTATACTGTATGTATAATATCATTTGTGTGTTTGTGTGGATATCGATATTGGCTGAAATTTTCATACGGTGCAACCCTATTAAATTCTATACCAAAATTAAATAACTATGTCACCTTCAGTTGTTATTAAAATGCTGTTTTTATCTTTAAATCAAAAATTTTAGGTAAATAAATATGGTTACAATGAAAA